CAGGCATTGTATACTGTGCACAAATGCCCCTGCTTTCGAGGAATTTAGCAAAAGGACCTAGACATTGTCCTTTTTCGTCAGACCTACCATAATATTCACCCCCCCCCCGGTCTGGCCTCACAATTTTGACTTTTCTATCTAACTGCATTTCAACCTCATTAATGAACACCTCTAAAGTGCCCACAGACTGAGATTTACCATGCAGTAGATATATATAGCCATATCGTGAGTAGTCATCTGTAAAGGTGATGAAGTACCTTTCGCCGCCCCAAGAAGGAACATCGAAAGGTCCACAAATGTCGGTGTGAATTATTTCAAGCAGCTCACTGCTTCTTGTAGCAGGTTTCTTGGTTATGTGTTTGGTTTGTTTTCCTTTAATACAATCCACACACACATCCCAATCACTAAAATCCAAGGCAGGGAAGATTTCATTTTTCTCCAACCTTACTAACCTTTCCTTGGATATGTGTCCCAAACGTTTATGCCACAAGTAAGCAGAGTTTTCCGTTAATGCACTACGTTTAACTCTTATACTACTCTCAACATGAAATAAGGATTCAGCAAAATTTACATCAAGATTAAAACGATAAAGAGAATCAATTAAAGTACCAAAACCATAATATTTATTGTCCTTACATAAATGAAAAGTACGATTCTCAAATTTGATGTAAAATCCCAACATATCCAACTTACTAATTGAAACAAGATTTCTAGCACAGTCAGGGACATAGAGACAATTTGCTAGATCCAAATGATATCCAGTATCTAGGATCAATCTATACGTCCCTATTCCGTCTATCCGTGCCTTCATCCTGTTTCCCATAAATAAGAATTCATCAGTTTTTCTTGTGAGTTGGATCGAACTGAATCCCTGCAAAATATGAGAGACATGAGTAGTAGCACCGGAATCTAACCACCAGGTATTGTTTGGTACTTCTATAAGGTTTGATTCAAAAAACATAGAGATAGAATCATTACCCTTCTTTTCAAACCAAGCTTTTCTTTTCGGACAATCTTTCTTCAAATGCCCCATTTTGTTACAAAAGAAGCACTTGACTCTTTTCTGGGCTTGACCCGATTGAGTGTTATGTTGGGTCTTGCCCTTTTTACCTGGTTTTCTTTTATTGGTGCTTGAATTTCCTTGAGATGTGAAGTGCATGGAGTGATCTCTTAACTTCTTTAATCTCGTTTCCTCTTGAGCCAGCAAATGTTTGGTTTCTTTAAAACTCCATTTTTAAGAGTATTGTAGTTCACATTGAACTGTCCAAACTCTGCTGGTGGAAGTGAGTTAATGACTAGATGAACTAGCCATGATTCGGACAACTCCATCCCCATCCCCTTTAATTTTGCTGCAATATTGGCCATTTGATCGCAGTGATCATGGATTGGCATAGACCAATCAAACTTCTTAGAAGTTAGCATGGTTGCAGTAGGCGCTGGGCGCTAGTCGGGCGCCCGGCCAGCGCCTAGTGCCTAAGCGGCCTAGTCGGCGCCTAGGCGGAATCTAGGCGGCGCTAGGTGGTTGCGAAAAAAACAGTAGCAGACTTGCAATTTGACAATTTTAATGAGGCTGTTTTCAACATTCAATCAAATAACACATCCAAATAAATGACATAATGACAATTCATAAGTCATAACATCAAAAGAATATAAATAAAAAAAAAACTCAAATGAAATACCCAAATACTTCAATCATCCAAAGATTGAAAGTATCAAACTAGTCTACGAGTGTATATATGTCATATTATATGTATATGTCATATAAATGGACAAAATTAGCAAGGTCGAGTTGGTCGGGTTAACTCGACTAACTCGACAGAAATTGACGAGTTAACTCGGCGTAATCGGACGAGTTAGGCGTTAGACGGGCGCCTAGGCGGCCGGTCTCCTAGGCGGGAGCCTAGGGCGGAAATCGCCACGGCCTATGGGCGCCTAGCGCCTAGACGCCGATTACTCGGTGCCTAGGCGGGATTTTTACAACCCTGGAAGTTAGTTCTTTCATCAGGTTCCCTGGAATTGACTTATCTGCAATTTCAGACATAGATAGCTCTTTCACTGTTTCTAAAAATTCAGATGCAATGTCCACTTTTGGCGGCATCATCGGCTTCATATTTTCTGCCATGGTAATCTTCATGAGGTTTAAACACATTTTATTGGACCTCATCCATTCTTCATGATATTCCTTCTCTTCTTGCGAGCTTTTGTCTGTGAGGGCTGCAGGTTCCTTTGTGTTTAAGGAAAGGTCTAGTCTAGTTAAGCCCAAGTAGAATTGGACTTGTTCAGACCAGTCTTGATAATTGAGGCCATTGAACCTCACAACAGCATTCATTGAAGCCGAGAATTGAGCAAAAGCTAAAATTTCATATTTACACTTTAATGCTTTTATACTAAGCGTATAACCAATTCAGACTTTACATAACTTTTAATAGATACCAACAATACATAAAACAATAATAATGATAATCAAGTACTAGTCAAATAACCAAGTCATCTTTGGATAAACAAAGCTATTTGACAAAGCACTAAAATCATATTCTTTAAGTATTATAAATTATTTGTAGTGATTCACCTTTGGGCAATCTCATAGCAATATAATTTATAATTATTGTAATTGTCATCTAAGGCATCTCAATGATTTGGGCAGCATAAATTCTATTTTTAATCATCATCTATCTCCATCTAGCTAGATCACTTTGGTGATTAACAAGCTAAAAAAAAATACATCCTTAATGAGTGAAATAGAATTTTATTGCCATACACAACATTCATTTAGTCCAAATATTATATAACATGGTCACTTTGGTGACTCTCAGAATCCTTAATAGACTAAAAACAATTTAAGTAAGAAAAATTTAATTTATTTGAATCTAATTGTTCCTTAGCCAGACCACTTTGGTGACTAACAAGCTCCTCACAACAATAGACAAAATAACAACAATGATAATTTGAGAACCATAAAAATCCACGAATCACCAAACCAATAATTTATTCTAATCTAATTGTTCCTTAGCAAGTCCACTTTGATGACTAACAAGCTCCTCACAACAATAGACAAAATAACAACAATAATAATAATAACAATAATAATTTGAGAGCCATACAAATCCACGAATCACCAAACTATAATAATTCATGAATCCAACAAATCTTTTCTTCTCAAACTATCATCCATAATAATAATAATAATAATAATAATAATAATAATAATAATAATAATAATATATTATTATTATTATTATTATTATTATTATTATTAAAAATAAAAAAAATTAATGGGCTTAGGGCTCTAGCCAAATTGGCTAGAGCCCTTCACGGCCCCATCAAAAAACCTCCAGCCTTGTGCTGGAGAAGCAGCAGCTTTGCTGCTTTCCTTCTCCAGCCGCAAGGCTGGAGAAAAGGTGGCTACCGACGGCACCGACCGTCTAGCCGATGACGGAATAATTCAGACACTGTTAATTTTTAATTGTCAAAATCATCTTTAATCCGTTGAATCAATTCAAAACTTTTATATATATATACGACCATAATATGTATATATATAATAACAATACAAAATTAACACATATATACACAAATTGAAATTAACGTATATATATACATAAATTTCAAAACAAAATTGGTAAATCATTATACCTAACATTGCTCTTGATACCACATGTAAAACTATAACAATAGGCATGGCATGATTTAACCAATACTTTAATCGGAAGCGTTAAAGTACTAACCTGATTCCATGACAGAATGATGAAGCTTTCAACCCTTTCTTCTTCACAACTTCTTTATGCAAGTTTGTAGAGTGTTTTTCAGAATACTTTTCCCCCTGGTCTTTCACGTTAGTTTTCACAGTGATAGGATAGGAAAATGCTTATGCCCTTTTATATTGCCTTCTTTACATAACTTACATTCCAATATTGATTATTGGAATTATGGCAATAATGGCCATAAACCAAATATTAAGTAGGCTTAAATAGCGTATTGAAAGCCAAAGAGAGGGGAGTAATAACCCCTTGATCGTTACATATTTTATTCCCATTACCTATCACAACGGGATTTTAATTGTCCAGACCACTTTAATATATGGACCACAATAACATTAGAATAAAATATTCTAACAATACATTCTCTTGCAGCGTGTTCGACCCGTGAAGAAATTTAGTCTAGTCATCACTGCCCTTAAATTACTCGATCCTAAGCTGGAGCAGTCCGATTTAGATCAGTGGTTTCTTTTTCTATTAAGAAATGGCGTTGAGGAACTTGACATCTCTCATGGGGTCTGGGGCAGTCGATATAAGCTGCCACTTTGTATAGTCTCGTGGCGGACAATCAAGAAGCTGGGACTCTTCAGTGTGTATTTTGATTTCCCACTAAATGCTCTTTGTATTTTTCCCTGTGTCACTTCATTAGCTTTCAGCAGTGTTGTTTTTAATCATAATGTTAATGGAATTGTGTATAGTATTCCTAATCTTGAGAAGCTTGATTTAATCAGTTGTAGTGAGATCAATAATTTTAAGATTAGTGCTCCAAAACTTGAAAGCTTGTCTATTACTGGTGTTATATATGCGGTTGAATCGAGATGGTTTGCACTTCATTTGAAAGCAATTAAGGTTCTTTGCATTGATGGCGACTTGTTGTATGGTGAGAATCTATCTTCCTTCATATATGGACTATAGTATTGACAGATCAAATATTCTTTTCAGGTCTCATATAATCTTTTGTTTTTGTTAAAGAATTGGGAAGATGTTGAAGTAACCTCCTTCCCAACTGCAATAAATCTACAAGTAATCAAACTGCGTTCTTTAGAGTTTGCCATTGAAAAGCAGCTCAAGGGTGTTCTGCAGTTGCTTCAAAAATCTCCCAACCTATGTGAACTGGACATCACAGGAGTAAGATTTGTCAGAAGAAACCTTTATAGAGTATATATTTGCGTGTAGTGATTTTTTATTTTCTTGATTTCCTCATGGTTGTACATGTTTTTTATTTTATTTGTTGTTGAGATGTAGACATGTTCAGATGATGACATCGAAGATGAACACAGAGAAGATAATGACATAGAAGATGAACACTTAGAAGCTGCTTCAAGACTTTTGAAGGGTCCAGAGAGTTGCATTATTAATCAGAATCTAAAAATGCTTAAAATAATCAAGATTGAACTGTTTTGTGGATTCACTATTGAAATGCTTTTTGTGAAAATGTTGCTCTCAAAATCTCCTATACTAGAGAGAGTTGTTATTACGGAATCTTATTATATAAAAGATTCTTACACGGTGATCAAGTTCCTAAAGGAGTTGGTGTGCTTCCCTCGTGCATCTCCAAAAGCACAAATTGTCATCAAGGGCAAAGACTATGCTTAAGGACTAGTTGGTTTAATCATGCTTCAGTTTGTATGAAACTTAGAAATGTAAGCAACGGTGATGGTTGAACTTGAAATGTTTTGTTAGATAAGGATGACACCTTGGATTTTTTACTATGGTGTTCAGTAGACTCTATGAATATCTTTTTGTAAATTTTTGCTTCTATTAATTGCACTAAATTTTACTTCAGATGATGTGATGTTGGTGCTTACTGCTTAGCCAAGTGTTTCTTATTACTTAAATGTAATGGTATTTCCATGTTCATTTTGGAAAATACTATGTGTACTTCCATTTTTTATTCCTAATTTTTACTCACACAAAATCTTGATGTATACATTTGTATTGAGACCCACATAAAAAAAAGTAGCTTATCCGTGACAGTCCCATCAATGAGTAAAATTTAAAGAGTAAGATTTGGAATTCCATGTGGTAGAACTCTTTAATTTTTAATGATCCTATTTTTTTGGGTGCAATCTACCACATGATAACCAATTGAATTATGTGACGGTCTCACATCCCTATTTTCTATGGAGTATGTATAATGCAACTTGGATTGTGTGATGCAATGTAGTTTTAATATTTTGTTAGTGTCTTCAAACAATTGCAGTATTGTAGTTAATATGTCAACAATAAATAATTTAGAAGTACCGCTCCACAGCATATTGTCTTCTCAATCAGTCCGAAGTACATATATTGTTTTTACATATGAAGAATCAATATTTATTAACTTATTATAGTTTGTTAGGTATCACACTTTTATATCATAAAATGTCAATTCAATTTTTGAAATCGCACAAGTTAATACATTATATTGAAAAATATAATTTATTGACTATCTTAGTTGAGTTTTGCATTCCTCCATAAAATTTGTACATGACTTATCAAGTTAATAGATTATTTTGGTATCTTGATATACATTGATTTCATTTCAATGAAATTGTAACTTTTTAAAGATTTAATAAATTATTTCATTTATACAATATTTTATTTCTTTAATTAAGTTAACTTCATCTAGCATTGAGCTCGTACCATTGTAGCGGGAAGACACTAATCCTCACACCTAAGAAGTAGTTAATTAAACAAGAGTATTGTGTGGTCCATAGATTGCTTGCCGTAATGAACAAGTAAAACATAGGCCAATTACTACTCACTAAATCATTTTCATCTAAGCTAAGTCTAATAAAAACCACTAACAATATAATGTCTACTTTTGAAGGAGGAGTTGTGCACTACTACATTTAACTTTGAAGCAGTGTTACGTTGTAAAACTCGGCCTCCTCGGCGCTAGGCGGCGCCATGCCGTGCCGCTTTTGATTGTAGTCGGCCATTAGTCGGCCGGCCACCTAGGCGGCCAACTCGGCCAAACTTGGCCGAGTCGATCAATTTCGTTCGATTTTGACCGATTTCGTCCGATTTTGACCGATTTCGTATGGATTTTGACCTGTTTATTCGTCCCATGTTGTCTTTTATTAATTATTGATTTTAATATTATTATGATGTTATGATTTATAAATTTTCGTTATTTCATTTATTTGGATGTGTTATTTGATTAAATGTTGAAAACAGTCTCATTAAAATTGTCAAACCACAAGTCTGTCACTATTTTTTTAAATTTTTTTGGTGCCCGCTTAGCGCCGCCTAGATTCCACCTAGGCACCGCCTAGGCGTTAGGCGCTGCTCGGGTGCCTAGCGCCTACTGCAACCATATATGCTTTGAAGTACCCTCATTAAATGCAAATTAAACAATTTTTTTCTTTTTTTAATTTGTGGACAGGTAGGAAAACATAAAAGCTCCCACGTAACATTAAACTCCTCAGTGTATTCATACATTTTGTAACAAGTAATGATGACATTTTCAAGTGTTGGAAAGCGACAAGTTACCCTTAAATGAGAGGCATTTCAAACCTTAAATCTTTAAATGAGCTAGGCTTCAAACTATGTTGCATTTTGTGTGTTTAAGACACAATATGATGTTCCTCCAAACGTTTCGATATAGAATCCTTACAAGTAGATACCACTACATACATCAAACTTAGAAAAGAAAGAAAGAAAAAAAAAAAAAAAAATCTCAAGGTAAATTTGGTCAATGGTATGGCTACCGGATGAAAAGTATCATCTACAATAATTTAATTAGGGTCCTTTTAAAAATATTTAATAAATAAAAGTACATCTAAGTTTGTAACAAACCCTTTTTCTAAAATTTAAATCCCGATAAACAAGCTTAATTAAGATAAATAAGTATAACTTAGATAACTAAATAACCAACAATACGATAAACTAAAAGGGTGTCACCGCCACAGTCACCACTCACGGTAACAGCACAGGCTACAAAACATCATAACTAAAAGTTCTACAAAATATCATAACATGGGGAACAAACCCCGGTGTTTACGCACCAACAAAAGGTAGTTCAAACTACAATTGTCAACAGTACTACTAAGGGTAGAAATACTAATCTAGTAAGTACCACATTAAAGCTACGCACTAAACTATCATCGTGCGCTCTCAAGTACTGTGCCCACCTGAAAGGGATTATAAAATAAGTAGGAAAATAAACCCGTGTGCAAATTAATGCTAAGTATAAAGCCACTCAACCCTGTAAAGTATTATAGATATAGATTTGGAAAACGGTTGACATTCAAACACAGTCTCAAGTATGAATATAAACAGTTACAACACTTAATCATAGATCCCAATAGATATACATAAACACTTCTATATGCTTGCAACCTATAACTCATATAAACATACCTTAACTCATAGCTCATACTTTAACACGTTCACATGATATAAACAGATATAAACCAACTATAGTCCACTATGCACTACTCACAGTCATACTGATAGATAAGGCAATAACTGAAGTTTAACAAGTAAAACCATGATTTAATGCTAACACTTAAACAACGATAAAACTGTACTTTTCAAATGTTCTAAATGAAACATATGCTAAGTCATGATATAAATAAGGATATGATGCTATAAATATATAGATATACTCTTGTTCTTTATATAAAAACGAACATTTTTCTATGGAGGATCTCTGTTGAGTCTCTTGACTCACTTTCTCTTCTTTCATCTTTCTTGCTTTCTTTCTGAACTCGCGGGCAATGTAGAAACTTCACGAATCGTGAATGGCCTGGTGGAGAGCTGTCGTAGGCTCCCAAATTAGAACTTTACAAACGTAGTAGCTGGAGTAAGGGTCGATCCCAAGAGGAGTAACTAGTTTAGTTTTTGTGCTTAAGGAAATGATGGGGATTTGGAAAATAACGAGAATAAAGTTTAAATAAAAGAGAAATTCAGTAAACGAGAAATTTAAATAAACGAAAAATCGATGAAGAACAAGATATTAAAGCACTTATAATAGAAAATCTTGGTTAGTAAAGATCCACCACCGGAATTTAGCACTGATCATCGATTCAAAAGGTAATTAATATGCAATTGAATATTTGTCGTGAAATTATTTCATTTCTGTTTTTCCTTAGTTGTAGATAACTAAAGCACACGCGGTTTAATTACCCCTAACTACTAAATAATCTAAGACGAGCGCTATAGATTTAATTTAATAGCAACAATAGGAACTAGGAAAACCGACAAACTAAATAACACAAGCACAAACGGTTGCATTTAATTTAGGAAAATATTCCCCCTGAGACCAATTATCACTAAAGCTGTCAATAATTAACCTCAATTGCTACTGAATATTAGAATAATTTGTAGCACAACATTAACTAATATAGCAAATAATTATATCAAATAAATAACTAGTAGGCCTCCTAGCAATTAAATGATACTATCTATACAAATAAATTAGAAGAATATTTAATACTTAATGCATAAAAATTATATAACAAAATAAATAAATAATCTCACAGCGTAATCAATTCCGGGGCTTCAATTTACCAAACCAAGCTAAAGAAAATTAGCCATGCAGCGACATTGATAACAACTTTAAAAAGAAGTATTTAGATAATCAAGAGGGGAAGAAGTGAACGTTGAACGTCTTTAATGCTATTGCCGTCTTCTATTTATAATACTAGTATTTGTCCCGTGCGATGCACGGAAAATATGTTATAAAAATATACACTATATGAGGTTTATTCATATACAAAATTTTTGTTATTTAATAATAATTATGTGTGAATTCCTATGATAAAATTATGAACATAAATATATTTACAATTAAAATAATATTTAAGGTAGGTGATTACTACAAATCTTAAACTATATTAAAAATTTAGTACATAGTATTTAATATTATAAATTTTTAAGAACTTAGTATACTACAATAGTAATTGAATTACAATTTTAGAGTCACCACGGATCAAAATTTTTAGACCTTTGAGATTTCTAACTCTAGATGTAGCAACATACAATTGACCTTTAAAGACCAAAATCACAATCTTAGTTAGAACATTGATTTTTTTCTTCCAAATACTATCGAATTAAGTGTGTAATCAATAAAAGATGAGAACTTATAATTCGAGAATATAATCTTAATGTTATTAAGCCTACTTCACGTCAATTAAGTTGGAGAGTGTTGTTGGATAGTATCCGATGAATCCATGAATAACGCATCTTTGTCTACGTAGTCCTCCATATGCACATCAACAATCTTAAATATTAAGCCACATAGCTATGCTATATATTAATTTCAAACTTATGGACTTTGGGGTTGCATGCATGCTTCTTAAAGTCATATGGTCTTGTGAAAATTAAATGCAACATTTAATTTTCACATCTTAAAGTAATTTTCACATCTTAAAGCCCATTTAATTTTCACAAGACTTTCACATCTTAAAGCCATATGGTCTTGTGAAAATTAAATGCAACATTCAATTTTCACAAGACCATATAGCTTTATTATATATAGGATAGGATTTTCATAATAATTTCTAACTGTTAAAAGGAAAAAAATAGAATAGTGAATAGAGAGATGAGGGAGAAAGGATGATAGTCTCTTCATTATCATCTTCCTCTACAACAAGCTAAGTATAGAGTATATATACATAATACAAAGGTATTAAATTGATGCAATAAATGTATAACAGTTACATACGTTACAATAATAATGTCCATAATGATGATGAATTATAACACTCCCCCTTGGACATTATTTGACCACGATTTCGTCTCGTAAAAAACTTG